ATCAGAGTAGGTTTCCTCAAACAGGGAACTGATCATTTGGTCGCCTCTGTCTCCTTTTTTGATCCATTCTTGCAGATGGTATATAGGTGGTCTTGGCCTTAACCAGCAGGTGCATGTAACTGGCACCGCCCCCCACCTTCCACACCACCATCCCTGCAGCGTGCTGGAGACCAGGGAGCTTGGTGTATTTGCGAAGTGCTCTGGCTATCTTTCATTTTCTCCCCTGCCCCCTCAAACTTCCATCTCATCTTGAGAACATATACTGTGTTGGAGCACTGTACTATGGTTGGCAACAGCTCCAGGGAACCAGTTGCCCAGATTCCTGTTCTGAATATCCATGCACCTGAATAGTGGATCATGGTAAGTTATTTGACAGACAACATGGGAGCTAATCTTGATCATTATTGCATCTGATACACAAGCGTTTTCATTTACTGTGGGACGTGGACATTGCTGGCTGGCCAGCAGTTTTATTGCCCATCTCTACTTGCCCCTGAGAAGGTGGTGGTGAGCTGCTTTCTTGAGCTCCTGCAGTCTTTATGCTGTAGGTTGACCCATATAATGCCCGTAGGAAGAGAATTCCAGGATTTTGACTCCGTGACAGTGAAAGAACGGTGATTATAACTCTTGTTTTCAGCGGCAGCAGCGCGAGCCAGAGTGCCGACGGGAAGGTAAAGCGGTTTTTGTATTCTCCCTGTATAAAAACTTACCTCGTGCAGCAAGTGGCCTTCTTGTTTTCAGCGGCGGGTGTGTGGAGGGAACACGAGCCAGGAAGAAACAGATAAATTCGGGCATTGGCTAAACCCGAAACACTACACGTGTAGTGTCTCCCACCCATCCTCCTCCTCTAACCAAAAAAGACTGTGGAGGGTCGGTAAGGTAAGGCTTTTTTAAATCTTCTGGAAATCTAGAGTAGAGGGAATGGAAGCTAGGGGAGTTGCATGCTCCTCTTGCGGGATGTGGGAGGTAAGGGTCACTGCTGGTGTCCCCTCTGACTTCACCTGCGAGAAGTGCACCCAACTCCGGCTCCTCAAAAACTGTGTTAGGGAACTGGAGCTGGAGCTGGATGAACTCGGATCATTCAGGAGGTTGAGGGGGTGATAGAGAGGAGTTATAAGGAGGTGGTCACACCCAAGGTACAGGAAAAAGGTAGCTGGGTGACTGTCAGGAAAGGGAAAGGGAATAGGCAGACAGTGCAGGGATCCCCTGTGGCCGTTCCCCTCAATAATAAGTATACCGTTTTGGATACTGTTGGAGTGGACAACCTACCAGGGGAAGGCCATAGCGGACAGGTCTCTGGCACTGAGCCTGACCCTGTGGCAAAGAAGGGAAGGGGAGAGAATAGGAGAGCAATTGTAGTGGGGGATTCAATAGTAAGAGGCACAGACAGGCGGTTCTGTGGACGCGAACAAGATGAAAGGATGGTATGTTGCCTCCCGGGTGCCAGGGTCTGTGATGTCTCGGATAGTGTCTTCAAGATCCTTAAGGGGGAGGGTAAGCAACCATCAGTCATGGTACACATCGGTACCAATGACATAGCTCAGTAGAAAAAGGACTGAGAAAGTGAAAAATGAGTACAGGGAGTTAGGTTGGAAGCTGAAGTCCAGGACAAACAGGGTAGTTATCTCTGGATTACTACCAATGCCACGTGATAACAAAGTAAGAAAAAGGGAGAGAGTGCAGCTAAACACGTGGCTACAGGGCTGGTGTAGCAGAGAGGGCTTCCATTGTGTGGATAATTGGAGCACATTCTGAGGAAGGTGGGACCTGGACAGTAAGGACGGGTTGCACCTGAACCGGAAGGGCACAAATGTCCTGGGAGGGAGGTTTGCTAGAGCTGTACGGGATGGTTTAAACTAGTTTGGCAGGGGGTGGGGAACTGGATTTATAATTCAGAGGATGAGGTATTTGGCCTTCCAACAGACAACAGGGAGTGAGGTGGTTTATAAAGAAATGCGGTCGATGGAGCGTAATTGCGGACACCAAGATGGTTTGAGGTGTGTATACTTCAATGCAAGAAGTATCAGAAATAAAGCGGATGAACTTAGAGCATGAGTCGGTACTTGGAACTACGATGTTGTGGCCATTACAGAAACTTGGGTAACTCGGAGAGGAACGGAAGTTGGAAGTTCCGGGATTTAGATGCTTTAAAAGAAATAGGGAGGGTGGAAAAAGAGGTGGGGGAGTGGCATTGCTAGTCAGGGCGAGTATAGCAGCTACTGAAAGGCAGTTCGAGAATGATATGTCTATAAAGTCAGTTTGGGTTGAGATCAGGGACAAGAAAGGAGCAGTCAGTTTGTTGGGGGTTTTTTACAGACTCCCTAATAGTTGCACAGAAGTAGAAGAGCGGATTGGGAGGCGGATACTGGAAAGGTGCAGAAGTCACAGGGTTGTAGTCATGGGTGACTTCAACTTTCCAAATATTGATTGGAAACATTTTAGTTGTAATAGTTTAGATGGAGCAGATTTTGTCCAGTGCGTTCAGGAAGGATTCCTGACACAGTATGTAGATAGACGAACAGGAGGAGAGGCCACTTTGGATTTGGTGCTTGGCAACGAACCGGGCCAAGTGTTAGACCTGTTGGTAGGAGAGCATTTTGGCGGTAGTAATCATAACTCTGTTTCTTTCACGATAGTAATGGATAAAGATAGGTACATATGGCAGGGTAAAGTTTATATTTGGGGGACGGGTAATTACAATTCAGTTAGGCAAGAACTGGGTAACGTAAATTGGGAACAGATGCTGTCAAGTAAGAGCACCACAGAAATGTGGAGATTGTTTAAGGAATGCATACTGCGTGTGCTCGATATGTTTGTCCCTAGCAGGCAGGGAAGATGCAGTTGAGTGAGGGAGCCATGGTTCTCGAGAGAGGTCGAACAACTGGTTAAGAGGAAGAAGGAGGCTTATGTAAGGTTAAGGAAAAGAGGAACGGAAAAGGCTGTAGAGGGATATAAGTTAGCCAGGAAGGAGCTGAAGAAAGGGCTTAGGAGAGCTATAAGGGAGCATGAGAAAACCTTGGCTGATAGGATCAAGGAAAACTCCAAGGCTTTTTACACGTATGTGCAGAACAAGAGAATGACCAGAGAAAGGGTAGGGCCGATCAAGGATTGTAAAGGGAATTTGTGCACAGAGCCTAAAGAGATAGGAGAGGTCCTTAATGAATACTTTTCTTCAGTATCCACAACTGAGAGGGACCTAGTTGTAGAGGAGGTCATTGTGAAACAGGCAGGTAGGCTAGAGGAGGTTGATGTTAGTAAAGATGATGTGCTAGGAATTCTGAGGAAGTTGAAGATAGATAAGTCCCCCAGGCCTGATAGGATTTATCGAAGGATTCTGTGGGAAGCGAGGGACGAGATCGCAGGGCCTTTGGCGATGATCTTTTCGTCCTCACTGTCCACGGGTATAGTGCCGGAAGATTGGAAAAAGGCAAACGTCATTTCCTTGTTCAAAAAAGGGAACAGCGATAACCCTGTAAATTACAGACCAGTTAGTCTTACGTCAGTGGTGGGCAAATTATTGGAAAGGGCTCTGAGAGACAGGATTTATGATCACTTGGAAAGGCACCATTTGATTTGTGATAGTCAGCATGGATTTATGAGGGGTAGATCATGCCTCACAAACCTTATTGAATTCTTTGAAGAGGTGACCAAATACGTGGATGAAGTTGGAGCAGTGGATGTGGTATACATGAATTTAAGTAAGGCGTTTGATAAGGTTCCCCATGGTCGGCTCATGCAGAAGGTAAGGAGGCATGGGATGGGGGAAATGTGGCAGATTGGATTCAGAATTGGCTGACCCTTAGAAGACAAAGGGTGGTAGTGGACGGAAAATATTCAACATGGTGTTCAGTTACGAGTGGTGTACCACAAGGATCTGTTCTGGGTCCTCTTCTATTTGTGATTTTTGTAAATGATTAGGATGAAGGAGTGGAAGGGTGGATTAGCAAGTTCGCGGACGATACGAAGGTGGGTCACGTGGACAGTGCGGAGGACTGTTCTAGGTTACAAAGTGACATTGATAGAATGCAGAGCTGGGCTGAGAAGTGGCAGATGGAGTTTAACCCTGAAAAGTGCGAGGTGATTCATTTTGGAAGGACAAACTTGAAAGCAGAATACAGGGTTAATGAAAAGATTCTTGGCAGTGTGGAGGAGCGGAGGGATCTTGGGGTTCATGTGCACAGTTCCCTGAAAGCTGCCACCCAGGTGGATAGAGCTGTTAAGAAGGCGTATGGTATGTTAGCTTTCATTAATAGAGGGATTAAGTTCAAGAGCCGTGAAGTTATGCTGCAGCTATACAAAAGCCTGGTTCGGCCACATCTGGAGTATTGTGTCCAGTTCAGGTCACCTCATTATAGGAAAGATGTGGAAGCGTTGGAAAAGGTGCAGAGGAGATTTACCAGGATGTTGCCTGGAATGGAGGGAAGGTCTTGAGGTCAGGTTGAGGAAGCTAGGGCTTCTCATCCTTCGTCGTTCGAAAGAGAAAAGTGACTTGATAGAGGTGTACAAAATGATCAGAGGTATAGATAGAATAGACAGCCAGAGACTTTTCCTAGGGTGGAGGTAGCTATTACGAGGGGCATAGTTTTAAAGTGATTGCAGGTAGATATCGGGGAGACGTCAGAGGTAGGCTCTTTACTCAGAGAGTGGTTAGGGGTGTGGAATACATTGCCGGAGAGGGTAGTGGAGTCAGCCTCATTAGGGGCATTTAAGCGGCTATTAGATAGGCATATGGATGATAGTATAAGGTAGCGGTGGAGGTTAGATAGACCTTGGGTTTCGGGTAAAAGTTCGGCACAACATTGTGGGCCGAAGGGCCCGTACTGTGCTGTACTGTTCTATGTTCTATATTTCCAAGTCCAAATGATGAGTGGCTTGGAGGGGAACTTGCAGTTGGTGGTGTTCCCATGTATCTGCTGCCCTTGACCTTCCAGATGTAAGTGGTCATAGGTTTGGAAGATTCTGTGTAAGGTTGTTGGTGAATTTCCGCAGTGCATTGTGTAGATAGTAGTAGCAGCAGTGTGTGCTGAACGCCAGTGGGGGAAGGAGTGGATACTTGTCGACTGCTTTGTCCTGAATGGTGTCAGGCTGCTTGATTGTTCATTGGAGTTCCATCCATCCATCCATGCAAGTGGGAAGTATTCCATCTCACTCCTGCCTTGTGCCTTGTAGATGATGGATAGGCTTTGGGGAGTCAGGAGGTAAGTTATTTGCCCCAGGATTCCTAGCCTCTGACCTGCTCTTGTAGCCA